TAGATGTGCTTAGAGAAATGAATTTTAGTGGAGAGTTAGGGCTCGAAGCCAGGTTTAAAGGATGAGAGAGCATCAATGGTGGAGACGGCCACAGGTCACTATTTTAAAGCAAAGAAAAGGAAATAGAGGGAGAAAGGAAGGAAAGAAGGAGGGAAGAAAGGTAGGTAGGAAGACGGTTATTTTGATGGGAGTGGCAAGAGAGCCAGATCTCAACTGGGAAGTGGAGGAAGGACCATCAGATGAAGTAATTCAGCCAAGAAGAGGAGCACGTCTTTCCCTGAGTCTGTCCGGCAAGGAGCACGGGTTGGGCTCATAAAGGCTGTGTCCACTGGGAGGATGGTTGTCTCCCCATCAGCACTGCGGCTTTCTTCAGACAGACATCCCAGGGCCGCAGAGCAGCATGGAGAAGAGCTGACTCAGAGCCAGACTACCTGGGTAACTGCAAGGGGGTAATACCTGGGGCAAGTGAGTCAGCCCTCCAGTGCCTCAGTTTCCCACGGCGTCTGACGCACAGCAGGTGTTCACGAAAGGGTGGCTCGTATTCACAGCCACCGCTCCTGGTTCTCCCGTGAGCCTCCTGTGGGTCTAGCATTGGCCAGCACACAGGAACGGCTCAGCATTTGCTGCTTCACCCGGAGCTTTTCAGGAAGTGTGGTCTTAAGAAATGAGAGGTGACTTAGAAGTGGCTCCGCGTCGGCCACAAGGGCTTTGTTGCACAACAAATGCTACCAGACATGTAATGAATGCTTATGCGCATGTCCGCTATAATCAGCGCCCAGAAGAGAGCCCCCCTCCCCCACTGCTCCTGGCCTTGGCTGTGGCCACACCCACTGCCCCAGTGAGCAGTATCAGCTGTCCCCGGTTCCTCTTGTCTTTTAGGATTAGGTTGCTTTGCAGGGATCTTCCCATGTTTATCAGTTCGGAGAACTAAAGAAGGCTTTACAAACACTTCCAAGTGTCTCATAGCAATGAGAGGCCAGTGCGAAGGGTAGCGGGAGTTTTCCTGAACCACAGAAACCAGAGCTGGCGCGCATCCAGCTGGCTTGGCCACCCCACGCTTGTGGGTCAATGCAGAATCATTCGCAGAAGTTCCTGTTGCACTGGATCTTATCCAGGCCAATGCAATGTGCTCGGGGATCACAGAACAGTCTCTCAAGGGAAAAAGGGAAGGCCCATTGCTTGGAATGGCTCAGAGCACTCTTGGTAGCCAGCCAAGGCAGCTATCACTCATTAAATCTGCCTTTCCCTCCAGCCAAAAGCCAGCTGCATAGAACAGCACGTATAGAGCTCTAAGAATAGTATAGCACTCCAAGAACATACTGTACTTGGCCTGTATACAGGTGTGAGGGGCTAGCTGTCTTTTCACTCTCAAAGCCGGGTGGGTTGAAACAAACAAACAAAAATCCTCCCCCCACCCCCAAGTAACTTGCAGAGAAGAAATGAAAAGAGAGAGCAGAGAACACCCTAGCATGTCATTCTCTGACCTGGGCTGCCTTTTTCTAGGCATGGATTGACTCTACAGCAAGCATGTCAAACTCAAAGGCTACCACAGGCCAAATAAATGAGGCATGCGGCTCACGGGCCTCGAGTTTGACATGCTTGCTCTACAGCCACTAAAGCATGCCAGTAAGCCCTAGAGCAGTAAGCACAGTAGCTCCTCCCCTCCCTCTTCCTCCTGCCATTCATTGTTTCCGCACTGGGCCAAGCAAGCCCCAAAGTCCTGTAACAGGTGGTACTTTATCATTTGCTACGACAGGAATTTGAAACCCATCATCCTCTGCAATAAATATGTGGTTGATTTATTGGCTTCCCTCCCATAAGTATAGAAAGTGAGGACAGGTTCCTTCCAAAACTGCAGCTCTGAGCAATGAGAGTTCTCAGAGTGCAGACAAGACCCTAAAACCACATCCCAATGTTGGAAGAAATGTATGTGTGGGTCTATTCATAAAAGAGTCTGGGAGGATATTCTCCTTAACGGTGTTTGGTTTTAGTAGTGGGATTTGGGGGAGCTTTTATTTTCTACCGTAAAACTTTCTGTATTGTCTGAAATCTTTACTCAATGTTACTTTTATGATCAGAAAAAAAAACACAACCAGCAATCTTAATCTGAAAATTATTTTCTTATTCTCAAATGGGCAAACATGACAGGGTTTCCACCTTCCTGCTTTCTCCTGGGGAGGGAAATACAATGAGGTGGAGTGAACAGATAGCTGAAGGCCCTCAAAGACAAAGATGATAGGAAACAGCTTTGGTCACTCCTGGCTATTCCTATCCTGTTCCCTGTCCCCAGAGAGCAAATGTGGCAGGTCACCACATATTTTGTCTCTTGCCTAGCTAACCACAATGCATCCTTTAGTTCTCCTTGTAAATATCACTTCTTCTAGGAAGCCATCCCTGTCCATCCAAGATTGAATTCTGTGTCCCTCCCATGTGCTTCAAACCACCTGCACTGTGATTATCTGTTTACCTGTTGGTCACCTCCACGGAAGGCAGAGGTGTTTTCTTCATCTGCTTAACCTTTGTACCTTAGGGAAAGTGCCAACAGACTCAATAAACATGTGTGTGTGTGTTATATGCCTTACATGCCCTTGAGTTGGCTCCAACTTCTGGCAACCCTATTAATAAGTGATGGATGCCCACAAGGTTCTGTCCTCAACAGCCCTGCTCAGCCTCTGTAGATTCATGCCTATGGCTTCTTTTATGAAGTCAATCCATCTCAGACCTGGTCTTCCTCTTTTCCTGCTTCTATTTTTCCCAGCGTTACTATCCTTTCCAAAGAACCCTGCCTTCTCATGATTGCCTGAAGTAGGGCAGCTTCAGTTCTGTCATTCTTGCCTCCAGCAATGTTTCAGTTACTGAATAATTATTAACTGGGGAACTTTAATAATGAGAGGAATTTAAGGGATGCGAAGACGAAAAAGAAACTATTCATTTTCAAGGAACTTACGACTAGTTGGGGGAGATGGATGTGTCCGACTATAAAACCAAGCACCAGTTTAAGGGGTAAAATGGAACTACAAACAACCAACTATAAAGACAACAAGGAAGGTTGGGCCCTGAACATTTCTCACTGTGTTTCCAGCTCAGAAGCCCAAGTTGGAATGCTCGTATGGGGTATGTGCATGTGGTTATAAGGACTCAGGGTTCTAGGACCTTGATTAGAATTTGACTCATGATTGTCTGCTGTCAGTTGCCCTAGGAATACCTGCCATTCAGTCTTAACTGATGTTTGTGAAATGCCTTGTCTTCTTCTGCTGAAAGGCTTTAAGTGCTAAGCATTATTACTGTTACAGTGGTTGTTTTATTATTAAAGCAGTGCCAATGAGGTTACACAACAGCCTGGGTCAGGAAGTGAAACCAGGGCGCTGATCCCACTGACGCTACAGAGGATGGGGATTTGGGATGGTAAAATGTTAATTACTCGAGACGGAATGCAGGCTCCAGTCCAGCACTGTGCTCCTGCAGATCATTTCAGCCCCAGAGGCTGGGGCTGGCTCTCTGGCAGTGCGTCCTAAGCACCCTTCCCTCCCCTGGCTGGAATGTTGGATTCACTTCGCTGTAAGCTGCCACGGAAAAAGAATCCACTGGCCACGAGCCAGGAGCACACGTCTTGTACAGCATCAGGGGTAACTCTGGAAGCTTCCCAGGAGCCGAAGGGCTGTTCCCTTTGCATGCAATCAATTATTTATTTCTAAGCAATTTATTCTTTCTCCTTGCTTCCAGCTCTTGAGGACTCTCTCCAAAGATAGGATGGGGGTCGAGGAGGTAGGCTTTGGCACACAAAGATGGTAGAAATATCCAAGAGAAGATGATCTTGGAGATAGATGGGCTTTGGGTCAGGAAGCGCCACGATTGTTTATGTTAGGGTGGGAGGAATGGGTCCTGGACAGGAGGCTGTGGTGGCGGCAATGACAAGCTCCCCATAGCTTTTTAATTCCCAACAATGTCACTTCTAGAAACCGATGAAAGAACTTGAATTCTGAAAAAAATGTTTTTAAGATGTTGGGTTGGCTGACAGGTACAATTCTGGCAAAGAGAGAGGCACTAAAGTACAATGAAAAGAGAGAAAGCTCTGGAGCCTGACAGATCTAGGACCGCATGCCAGGCCCACCAACTACTTTCTATCTGGGTGACCTTGGGCACGTTTCCCAACCTCTCTGGCACCTTGGTCTCCTATCCGTAAAATTTAGAGAATCTGTGTGAAACTCACAGGTTTAACCAGATAATTCCTGTAAAGGATTCCGCACAGTATTTGGCACACAGTGGGCACCCAATAAGTGATAGTCATTATTACCATCAACGGAGTCCTCCAAACTCCCTCTTAAACAATTAACTCGCACAGTGAATACCAGATCTGACGGACGCGCTCCTTTGCCCAATAAGGTCCCAGAAAAGAACTCGGTGGAGTCAAACCAATGGCATTGGCCCTTGTTGGTGGACGGGCTTTCTTGCGTTTCCACCAATAGGGTGAAGATGGGACTAGCGAGTGACATTCTGACAGTCCAATGACGTACAACCAGCCCACACTCAGCACTTCGGCGAAGATAAATTAAGGAGCCGGCACGTATACATTCCGTTATTAGGCAGTACTGGATGGAGAGAGGAACTTAGGGGATACTGTGCCGGGGCTAGGCACTAATGAGCTAAAAAAAAAGAAAAAAGACGATGGTTGGGCCAAGTGGACTCGGCCGCCATCATGCTCTAATTTCCCCTTCGCCTCTCTGGGACGGCGACCGAGGAAGCGGCCTCTGGGATGCTAAGGGGGTGTGTCCCCCAATGATTGGCGCAGGCAGTTCAGCCAATCCTAGCTCGTCAAACGGGAAGCATTTGACCAATGAGGGGCGACGGCAGCGGCGAGGAATTGGAGGGGCGGAGCACTAGCTTGACAAACACAAAAGCCAGCCAGTGAGAGCCGGAGGCATCCTCCCTGCAGCCAATGGGGTGCAGCTGTGGGCAGGCCCCAGAGTGTTTGTGTTGTGGTTTTGGGGGAGGGAGGCGGAGGGGAAAGTTTGTTTATTTTGTTTTAGTTTCTGGGGTCCCCGTGTGTCTGGGAGGTGAAGCGGGAGGGACTGACCCCCGTTCTCCTCGGTCCTCCTACTACGTCGCTTCCAAAGCCAGCGGAGGAGCGGGGACCGCGCGAATCGCAGCGCATCGCCTCACAGCGGAACGCCGCGCACTCGGAACCGGCACGGCTCGGCGGTGAGTGAGGACCGACGGCCACGGCTGCTCTTCCCCTCCCCCGCACACCGCGAGTCAGGACCGGGCGGCCGGGTGGCGAGGACGCCCGCGGGAGCGCGCGGTGCGGGCAGGCCTGTCAAGCTGAGGCGCAGGGCGTGCGAGTCCTCGCGAGTGAGCGAGCGCGGCGGGGCGAGGGCCGGGAGGGGCGTGAGCGCGCGCGGGGCCCGGCGGGGGCGGCGGTGCGGAGCGCGTGCTCCGAGGGGGCGGCCGTCTGGTGGTTTTGACCCGGGGGCGGGGAGGGGACGCGGGTGACGTCCCCGCGCGCAGGGAAGGGGCGCCGGGGATGGCGGGGCCGGGTCGGACGGGCGCGCGGCTGTGGGCGTCACGCGCTGGCAGGTGTGAGCTGGGGAGGGCTTCCGGGTGGGCTGGCCAAGTCGGGTTCGCTTCCCGTGACTGGGGGGCCCTTGGGCAGGGAGGGGTCCCGGTCGCGAAGGGAAGCCGAGGCCCGCGGAAGCGCGTGTCAGAGAGGCGTCAGGCCTCGGAGCCTCCGGGTCCCTGCCGGGGTGCAGGACCTGCGTGACGGAGTGACGGTGGTTCCCCCGGGTAACCCGGGCCGGGGGGCACCACCCTTTCACCCCTCATCCCAGAGCCCTGCGTGTGTGGCCATCTTCGACAGGCGACTCAGACTTTCCAAGAGGAAACGAGGGGAATAACATTAGATGGAACAGCCCGAGGAATGTTCTCTGCCTTCCAATGGTCCTGCCCCCCTTTAGTTTCAAACTATTGGGGTTAATGGCCCACAGTGGGGTTAGCAGCCCACAGTGGGCTGAATACACCATAGCGGCTGTGGACACCCAGTGACAGGAGCCTCTGGTGAGCGCAAGGACCAGCCCATCCTCGGTTCTTTGGGCACCGGGTGTCAGTCTGGGTTTTTTCAGACTCCTCGCTTTCTCATGTTTTGGCTGTTGTGTTGCTTTTTAGCATCTGTGCTAGAGAGGGAGAGAGGAGAAGGCAGATTTCAAGTTGGTCATTTGTATAACAATGTAAGCAAAATTATTCAACAAGATTTGTCAAGAGAGGTTTCTCCATTGAAACAAACCGTCCTTAGTGGCTCCCACCAAGCAGCTAAGCATATAGAAATAAGGTGTCCACCTTAGCATTTTGTGGAAGTTTTAACCATAGAGGCTGTTGCCCTCATCTTCGTGGAGAATTTCATTAGGTTGGGAGTTTCCTTTGATGTGGAGAAGCATTGGTGATTTGGATTGTGGGGCGGTATTTATTCTTCTGGTCGTGTTATGTAAATGCCTCTTAAAAAGCAGAACTTGGAGCACATTGTCTTGCAGAGTGTAGTGTTGCTGTAGGTAGGTGGTAGGGGGGGATAGGAATGCAGCAGGTCCCCTACACGAAGGCAGGTATCCAGAACGCAGATCAGACTGGCTGGTCCCACTCGGGACACCTTTATATTTTCTTAGTTCTTGACCGTTTTTAAGAACTATAAATACGGTTTATAGTTCCCAAACATTATTTGAGCAGAATAGTCTGTGATAGGACTTAAGGAGAAGAAATTTCCAAGCTGCTTTTCGAAGGTAGCAGAGAAATGCCATACCCTTGAAACAAAAGAATTGTTGCCCTCATTCAAAAGGAAGCACTTAGAAATGTTTAAAATCAGAACAGTAGCATTTGTTCAAATGGTAGGAACACATTTATTGCGTGCTTCCCATATGCCAGCCTCTGTATATGTTTGTTTATTTGTTTGTTTTTGCTAATCCTCACCCCAGGATATTTTTTCATTGATTTTTAGAGTGAGAGGAAGGGAGGGAAAGAGACACAGAAAGAGAAACATCAGTGTGATGAGAGACAGGCCAATTGGTTGCTTCAGGTACATACCCCCGAGTAGGGGGCCTGCAACTGAGGTACATGCCCTTCATGCCCTTGACCAGAATCGAACCCGGGACCCTTCAGTCCACAGGTTGACGCTCTGTCCACTGAGCCAAAGTGGCTAGGACTATTTTTCTAATCCTTATCTTAAGCCTGTGGGGTAGGTATCATTACTGTTTTATGAATGAGAAAAGGAGCCTACAAGAGCCACATAGCTAGGAAGTTCAGGGGCATAGATTTAGTCTCAAGTCTGTCTAGTTTCAAAGCCTGTGCTTGTTCCATTTTGCTCCTTAAATTATCCAAAGGAAGAAATATGGAAAGGGCACTGAAAAGTAGAGAGGAATAGCAAAGGGAAATGCTACTAATGATTAATTAGGTTGCCCCTACCTAATTTAAGAATTTAATGTTAAACTCATTCTTTAGCTTTTTTAAAAAAATATATTTTTATTAATTTTAGAGAGGAAGAGAGAGGGAGAGAGAGATAGAAACATCAATGATGAGAGAGAATCATTGATTGGCTGCCTCCTGCACACTCCCCACTGGGGATGGAGCCCCCAACCAGGGCATGTGCCCTTGACCGGAGTCGAACCTGGGACCTTTTAGTCCGCAGGTTGACACTCTATCCACTGAGCCAAACCGGCTAGGGCAATCATTCTTTAGCTTTAAAAGTTAAGAATATTTGTACCAAAGCACATCTGTGCTGTTTTTAATCTCTTCCCTGTTTAATTTTGATAAAGATAAATAAAATGTATTTAATTAGAGGTCAAGGCTTTCAGAGCCCTTTGCTCAGATCTCTGCTTCACTACCTTGCTGTTATGATTAGTCCTGTGCCCTCTTCCAGGACCAGGAACTTTTGTATTTAGCACAGTGCTTAGCACATAATAGGGACACAGTAAATGTTAGTTGACTAAGGAGCAGAGTTAAAAATGTAATGACTTCAGATTCATTTTAGCAGTTTTAGTTTAATGGGGCAATAAAGTGAATAGCTCATGTGCAAAATGCAAATTCTAGAAGAATACTTAGATGGAACAACTCATGTGGTCTTGGGCGTTCGGCTCTGCCAGTTTGCTAAGTCTCCCAGGGGTCCTTATCTGAGCTGCTGTACCATTCTGTTTTTCCTTTCACCTCGAGTTCTAAAGAGGAGGCTATAATGACCACTTCCTGTACTACTCAGTCATTCTTTGAACCTTTGCATCTTGGCTCCCAAACTCACCACTCACTGAGGCTTTTCCCAGGTCGTCAATTACCTAATGGTTAAATTTCCCAGAACATCTTTTTCTGTCTCCCTTCAGCAGTCAGTCCTTTTGACTATCCCCACCCCCTTTAAATTTTTTATTTTATTTTAAAAAATAACATACAGTAGCATTGACTTTTAGGGTGTATACAGTTCCATAAATGTTAACACATGTATAGATTTATGTAACGACCACCACAACTAGGATACCGAGCAGTTATATCGCACCCCACACCCAAACTCTTTCATGCTATATCCCTTTTTAAAATATATGTATTTTTTATTGATTTCAGAGAGAAAGGAAGAGGGAGAGAGAGATAGAAACATCAGTGATGAGAGAGAATCATTGATGGGCTGCCTCCTACATGCCCCTATTGGGGATCAAGCCTGCAATCCAGGCATGTGCCCTTGGCCAGAATCGAACCCGGAACCCTCCAGTCCACAGGCCGATGCTCTATCCACTGAGCAAAACCAGCTAGGGCCATGCTATATCCCTTTTGATACACTTTCTCCTGACTTCAGTTCCAGAGATAAACAAACACTAAGGTTTCAGGCTGGGGCTTCTTTTATTGTCCTTGTTTTATTTTTATTTTTTTCTATTCCTTAAAAATGTTAATCTGCATATCTATGCCTGGCTCTCTTCCATAATCCAAACATCCATGTTTACCTGCTAGAATTCATTACTCCTTTATACTCACTGTGTTAAAGCTAGGCCTTAACTTTGCCTTCCAAACCAGCTCTTTCATCAGATTTTTCTGTAATTTTCAGTGGTGCCATCCTTCTCCCAAACTTGAAACTCATTTAGAGGGCCTTATAATAAACTCTTATCCCAGACCTGGTATCCTGCTACTCAGTTACACATTCTGGCTTCTGCCCATTTGCTGCCAAGCCAGCTCTGGTTCATTAGGCTGAGTGGAGCGTAGGTAGTTGGAGCATTTAGAACCCCACCAGGATCAGACTGCTTTTCTGGTCAAAACCCCTCATGGCTTCCCATTGCACTCAGGTTGTTTGGGATTTTATTTTATGACCCCCCCTTTCTTTAAAATAAAACAAAAAATATATATACATATATTTTATTATTCTTTTTATTTTAGAGAAGAAGGGAGAGGGGGAGAGAGAGAGAAACATCAATGATGAGAATCATTGATCTGCACACCCCTCACTGGGGATTGAGCCCACAACCCAGGCATGTGCCCTGACCGGAAATCCAACTGTGACCTCCTGGTTCATAGGTCAGTGCTCAACCACTGAGCCACCCCGGCTGGGTAACCCACCGGCCTTTCTGAAGACTCTACTCGGTCTTTCAATTCCTTGAATTGCTCAAGCCTTTTTCAGCCTCAGTGTTTTTGAACCTACCATTCTCCTGGCTTGGGCTATTCTTCCCTCCCTGCTTCCTAACCCTGTCCTCACCCTAACCCTCTGCTTCCCCCTTGTCTTCACACAACTGACTTTAGGGTTCAGATTAAATTGTCACTTCCTCAGAGAGGCTTTTCCTTATGACCTCGTCCCACTACCTCCATCCACCCTCAATTAGATCTCTCAGAATTCCTGTTATTTTTTCTTAGCTCTCACTACATTTTATGATTCAGGACCATGCCTGTTTTGTTTTTCATGTCTCTAAAGCCTAGCCAAGAATCAGGTGTACAGCAAACTCCCAGTAAATGTTTGTTGGCTGTGTTGTGTCTGGGCTTTTGATTTTATAATTTATTGCTATCTTGTAGTTTCTGATAACCTTATTTTCTCCTACCTTCTCTGGGACTTGACCCCACTGTTGGAGGTCTTGCCACGTAGAGATAGATCAGAAATTGCTGAAGAGGACCTCGATCCTGTCCTCCCTCTGAATTGTGCCACTGCCTGGAAGCCCTTACCACTGAGCCAGACTAGATCTAACCTAAACTGTTAGCTGAGC